ACCAATGGTATTCATAAACTTGTTTTTCATTTAATAACTATCGATGAAATCACCAATTATTCTGAGATATGAACATAAATTCTGTAGAAAACAATTAATTTTTATGTTTATTACAAATAAATAATAGTGTTTAACATTAAAATTGTTTACAATATAAAATTATATAAAAGATTTATTTTGACATAACTAATAGATTCAAACATAATATTGATTAAATTTAAATATTAAACATAATGTAAAAATCAAGATAATATTTATATAAAAAGTATTGAATAAATTGGACGAATGGTTGCATTCATTTGAATGGTATGAATGAGAGGAACAACTGGAGCCGAAGAAGCTCTTCACGTCATCCAAATATTTGATGTAATCCTTATTTGGTTTGCATTTATTGGCCTCTGGTTTGACACAATCATAGACGTGCCAAATGCCACAACAGGCCGCTCGGGTCCTCGTCTTTGTGATGTTTAATATGGTTTCGGTGTTTGTTTGATAGGCTTTAGTGGCGGCGTCCATACAGGACAGTCGGGTCGGGTCCACATCCAGCTTACAATCCCTAAACTCAATACTTTCAGGCTTTGGGACCACTTCCCAAATGGTCGTTTTGATTGGTATCACTTCTTTCTCCTCCTCCTCATCATCACAAGTGATTACATTTAAATTTAATACAACAATCGTTATTAATATTATGTTTATTTTTATCATCATGGTAATCATAAATATTTAAAATAAATATCTAGATTCAATCACTCTGTTGCTTGAATGCAACAATTTATTACTGGATTAATTAAAAAACAATAAAATAACTTTCATTTACAATGATTTATTTGCTATGACAAAATGTTATATAAAATATACATTAATTGTGTGAAAATTAAAACTTGATCGAAATGCTCACACGAACATAAAATAACTAATTAACACCAGTTTTGTTATACTTTTATAACTCATTGATATTTAATAGAGAAATATTTATTTCATTATCTGTTGAAAAGAGTGAACACTTAAAGTGAGGCATAATGTGAGACATAATGTGTTGATAGCGTTAATACCTATTGAATACATTTTTCCAGAATATGTTTCACAGTTACGATTAAATCATATAATAGTATAACGGATGGGAAATATTCACATTTCTTATGAATTAATACCAAATGTTTGATACGATTTTATGATAGCCTATATTTACTATTATTTTGATTAAATGCCAATCATTGCATTAATTCTGTGCAAAAATTAACACTAAAAATTTTATATCATAAATATTCTTTGATTCCGTATATTTAAAAATATCTACTGCAAAATCAATACTTTTTAAAAATAACATAAAATGTCAAAACATTATTTTCTGTTGAGATTTTTTCACAGCTTAAGTAATAACAAGATTATAAGGAGTTATGAGACGATAGGATAACCGGGATAATTGACAGTCAAACGTGTGATAACATTTACAAAAAAAAATATATGTATTAATTATATTCAATCAATTAATATCATATTTTCCACTCTCTTATCGGCAATACTTTGAACCCAAACCTTGTCCTATAGTTTACCATAATATCAAAAAATGTTAAACTATTTCAAAACAAATGATCGAAAAATATAATTAACGAAAATTACGAATACATATGAAGAGGAATATAACAAAAGTGATGACAATAACGGCTGCGATGGCAACGATGAGTATAAGCCAGAGTGGGATCCGGCACTTCCACGACCCCTTCTGGTAGTCGCGACACAATTGCGGCGATACTAACATCGGATTGAATTGAGTGGTGTATAGCTCTATATCCTTGTGATCCACTCGACAGTAATCCTTTGCCGGATATTTCAGACACTATTTGATTGCACATTAAAAAAGCAATGTTACAAAAAATGATGACATTTAATAGATATAGATATAATAGAGATAAAAGACCTCGATCAATTTCCAATAGGCACAACAGATTACTTTATTATTGGCATCGTTTTTCTGTTGATGTGTTTGTATTTTATCGTAATATTTTTTGATACAAACTTGAAATTCAGACGTTTTATGAATACATGTTTTGGTGCTTAAAAAGTCGATTCCGACCGTCGGTTGATATGAATTACATTTAACTACAAGTGATAATAAGTTTGTAAAAACAATGGATAGAAATATTTCCTTTGAATACATGGTTTAATAATAAATGTTATTAAAGATACATTAATATTCACGTAATTAACAATTCAGTATAAGAAAATGCAATTAAGATATCACAAGCAAAACATTTTTAACATTACTTGTATTCAAGAAATAGATTTTATTTTTTACACAACACAAGAAGTGCACAAATTGTGTTATTTGTTAAATTCAATTAAGGAAAAGCACTTTCTATAGTGTGTATAGAAAATAATGATTTGATTAATAAAATGATAATCAATTGTAGTGCAAAAGCACAGGAACTTATATTTACAGTTATGTTTTACATTATTTCATTGAACACCACTTCAAAGCTATTTAAATCATTTTAGTTGTCATTTGAAGACTTAATGTTAACATATACTGTAGTAGATATTGTAAGGACGAGCAAAAGTTTAGATTTACTTTTTATTTGTTATAGAATTTTTCATATACTTTATGCAATTGTTTTAATTTATTATTTAAAATGTTTATAGTTTTTGTTTAAAATTAATGACTTGTATTTCCCTAACTTATGATTTCCATTAAATCCATTTCCGATATGAATATATAACACGAAAGTCGCTCATAATTAATAAGATATACATTATATTAAAACCAATTGTTTTGTGCGTCAAATATTGTAAAAGCAATCAAATATTGCAAACAATAATATATTTTTTGTGTAAAATCTTTAAAATATAAATAAAAAGTTTTAAACCAAATATAAGACAAAAATTACCCGATGGTAAGTATTTAAGGACGGGTTTACTTCCTGTCACTGCAATATTAAATTGTTGACAAATTTATGTTTAATGTTTAATAAGCCTTTATTTAGAAGTAAACACAAGGACACCAATCATTATAATTATATTTACTTTTATTAAACCATTGAATCCATTAATTCATTCAGATTTAAATAATTATTTGCTCTGAACTTAAAGATTTAGTATTAATTAGTTAATTAACTGTTGATATAAACTAATTGTCAATACTTTAAAACAATAAAGAAAACATGAAAATTAATTAAAATAGATTAAGTAAATGTTAAAATCACTGTAAAAATGTCCTTCAATGATGTTTTGCGATGATTGTTAAATAATGTTACATTTTGTATATCAAAATCCATAAAAAACTTCACTAAAACTTATTGACGAAAAATGTGATAAAAAACAAGACAACAGAAAGAATGGATGAATGAATCAATTTGTGAGAATCACTGCAAACATCGGAATCTCTGGGAAAGTCTCGTTTGCAATCGTCGAGAGGGACAGTAGAGCCGAGTTGTCGGGTATACATCTGCATATCCGTGCGGTCTTTGATGCACTTGCGGTCGGCGGCCGACTCCACACACGAGAGGAACTCCCAGTAAGCGCAACATCCGATCCGATTAATGCTGATCTTCTGCTCAACTAAAGTCACATAACGCGACAGTTCGGCGATCTCTCTGTCCAGCCTTTCC